GCCACATCGCAGTCCCTTCTCCTCCATTCTCCTATCAGGATCTTGGGCACGCATGCACACGCGCCCAGTGTGAGTTTTAAGCCACTGGGTCCAGAAATGAACCGCGGTCGACTATGTGGGAGTCCAGCGACATAGCCATTACGCTAACTGCTGGTCCCCCCACACTGATTTTCAAGCTGCCAGGTGCAGAACTCAAACCGCAGTTGGTCATGTGCGAATCCACCTTAACCATCACACTGCCTGCTGGTTCCGAGTGTAAGCATATTTCATGAAACTTTGGTTATGTAAGTGTGTGTGTGTGTGTGTGTGTGTGTGTGTGTGAGAGAGAGAGAGAGAGAGAGAGAGAGAACTAGATTGCGGTGTAGACAAGTTTATTTACAGTGGACTATTGTTAGAAATGTATGAAAATTTCTTGCTTTATTTGGAAGATAGAAAAGAAGTAAGGCTGATGTTGATGGCTAGTTGCTTTTAGGAAGGAGAGACTGGGTCAGGCTGGGAATTAGTGTGGTGGGCATATTCTTCACCTTATTCCCTTATGTTGCTTTTGAAATCTGAACTATGACTGTGTGTTTCTTGTTTGAAAAAATGTGACTTGAATTCCAGCATTGCTGCCTTTAGAAGCCATGAAACAGACAAGACATAGCTTACCATTTAGCAGAGTGTGTTGCTCCAGTAGGCATGTAATAAATATTTCTTCAGCTGGGTTGAGAGAACAGTCCAAATTTTAATTTTCATTGCCAGAGAGTGTATGTGCTTACCAGAGGAGGGGAAGAGAAAGCACCCCTCCTGCCCAATAGGGCTTGGTCACACTGCAATCTCTTTTTCCATTTCTCTGTCCTGTCGGGATTTGGGCATGCATCTTATGCACCCAGTGTGGTTTTCAAGCCACCAGGGCCAGGACTTGAGCCATGGTTGGCCATGTGGGATCCAGCTCCCTAACCATTGGGCTTTGGGATTGGCCCAATCACAATGATTAATATAAATTTTTTAGTGTATTTGTGGTAAACTCTTAAGGAAAAGGTAGGAATTGAGCTGGTCCTTGTGAAAAGGTGGGTAGAGGAAAACAGCAAGGGCCCTGGAGATAGAAAACATGATTCAAATAAAGATGAGACAGGAGCCATGCGTGTCGGAGCCGGCTCAGAAAGGAAAGCGAGGTTAGGGAGGAGAGAAAATGTGCTGACTGTACAGAGGGTCCTTGAAGGTCAGGCAGTTAGGTTTGGACTTACCAGAAGGAAAATAGATCCTTGAGCCAAGGTTTGGTGTTTCATTTTACTTTTTATTATGAAAAACGTGAAATGTATGCAGAAGGTAAAGTAGGGGGGACAATATAATAAACCCTATGTATCTGTCCCCCACGTCAACAATGACCAACTCCGGCCAAACTTACCTCTGCTGGTTCCCATTTCCTTTCCCATTCCCTTAATTATTTCGAAGGAAATTCCAGCTTTTCTATAGGAGATGCCAGTTTTTCTTTTCTTTTATATTTTTGGAGAGTTTTTTGCTATAGGGCGTATGTGCTCGCCAGAAAGAGAGAGAAAGAGAGAGAGAAAGCGAGAAATCACCTCCCAGGGGGGATGGCCACGCCACAATTCCTTCTCCATTCTCCTTTTGGGGAGATCCCAGTTTTTCTAAGATATTTCAAATATTTACCTTAAAAGGGAATTTTTCTTTTTTAAATTTTGCTACAGGATGCTTATGCTTGTTGGAGAGAGACAGAGACAGAGAGAGGGAAAGTGAGATAGCACCTCTTGGAGGAATGACCGCACGTAGTCTGCTCGCCTCCATTCTTTAGGACCCTGGGCATGCCTGCAGCTGAGCCTGGCGTGTCCCTGAAGCCATCAGGTCAGGGACTTCTGCACAGCTGGCCATGTGAGGTCCAGTGCCACCTGGTTGGCCCTCAAAAGGAATTTTTGAAAACCTAACGCTAATGTCATAGTCACAACTTAAATACTTAGCGGTAATCCCTAATACCAAGTATCTAATCAGTGTTCAAATTTTGCTGATTGTCAGTGAACATTTTTTTATTGCTAGAGGGCAGATGAGCTCCAGAGGCAGTGAAAGCGTCCTCCAGTGGGCCTCAGCCCTTCTCCATTTCTCTATTCCGTCAGGGTTTTGGACATGCACACAGATGTGTCTGGTTGGTTTTTCAAGCTGCCGGGGCTGAGGTTTAGGCTGCTATCAGCCGTGGGTGAGCTGGCTGTCTCTGCTTAAGTCTGTGCTATGGGGCAGGCCCTATCCATGAGTATTTTCCTAATTGGTTTCTTTAAATCAGGACCCGAATAAGATCGAGACTTTGAAATTCATTTGTACTATCTTTTGAATCTCTTGAAATCAGCTCAGTTTCCACTCCTCTTTTTGCTTACGTTGATATTTGTTGAAGAAGCTGACTTTTTCGTCTCTGATCTCTTGTATCCCCCAGTGCTCTGATGTAATTTTTTTTTTTTTGAGAGGTTTTTATTATAGGGTGCATGCTCTCACTAGAAAGACAGAGAGACAGAAAACGAGAAATCACCCCCCAGGGGGGATGGCCACGCCGCAATCCCTTCTCCTCCATTCTCCTCTTGGGATCTTGGGCACGCACGCACACACGCCCAGTGTGAGTTTAAGCCACCAGGTCCAGGACTCGAACCGTGGCTGACTGTATGGGAGTCCGCGACATAGCCATTACGCTAACTGCTGATTCCTGTCATTTTTCTTTTAATATGGTTTTTGCCATTGAGTTCATGTGCTTATCAGAGAGAGGGAAAGTGAGACGTCACCCCCAGACATGCTGCAATTCCTTCTCTATTCTCGAATTTTGGGCATGCACACACACTCCCAGTGTGATTTTCAAGGCTACTTTATTAGAAGGCAAGTTACGTCCGTCCCTTTCTTTGTGAACTTAGAAACTTGATAAAAATCCATTTGTCTCATTAGAGGTTACAAAATGCTGATTTTATAGCTCTTCATTCTTCCTTTATTAGCTGAAACGCTTGGTTTGTTTCCCTTACTGATTTCCAAAGTAAAGGAACAAATTCATGCTTTGAGGGATCCTCCATGGGTAAGGTTTTGTTTTGTTTTGAGTTTTATTTTTATTTATTTATTTTTTAAGAACTACCATTAGAAGGGCTGGCAAGTGGCATGGTGGTTAAGAGCACTGGACTCCCATATGACTGGCCGTGGTTTGAGTCCCAGACCTGGCAGTTTGCTTTCTCACTTTCCCTCTCTTTCTCTCAGTCTGTCCCTCTCTGGTCAAATTAAAACAAACAAATAAGTTAAATAAAAATAATGTTTTAAAACAAGTTAAATTTTTTAAAAAATTACTTACTCATTTATTTAAATTTGACCAGAGAGATAGAGAGGGAGAGTAAGAAAGCTGCCAGGTCCAGGATTTGAACCACGGTCAGCCATATGAGAGTCCAGCACCTCAACTACCACACCACTTCCTGGCCCCAAAAATAATTCTTAAAAGAAAGAAAGAAAGAAAAATCATTAGAAGCTTACAGATACAAGCTTATTTGATTAGATTTTTCCCCCTGAGAGATTTTTGCTATAGGGCATGTACACTCATCAGAGAGACAGAAAGAGAGACAGAAAGCAAGAAATTACCCCATGAGGATGCCCACGCTGCAATCCCTTTTCCTCCGTTCTCCTCTCAGGATTTTGGGCATGTACACTCAACACTTCCGGTGTGAATTTTAAGCCACTGGGTTTGGAACTCAAATCATGATCAACTACATGGGAGTCCAGCAACGTAACCATTAAGCCATCTGCTGGCCCCTATTTGGTTAGTTTTATTTGATCCATTATAGTTTTTCTTACCGATTCTCAACTTGATCCTATTTTATTTTTTTTTATTGAGAGGTTTTTGCTATAGGGGGCGTGTGCTCGCCAGACAGACAGAGACAGAGAGACAGAAAGCGAGAAATCACCCAACAGGGGGGATGGTCACGCCGCAATCCCTTCTCCTCCATTCTCCTCTCAGGATCTTGGGCACGCACGCACACGCGCCCGGCATGAGTTTTAAGCCACTGGGTCCAGGACGCGAACCACAGTCAACTACATGGGAATCCAGCAACATAGCCATTACGCTAACTGCTGGTTCCCAACTTGATCCTATTTTTTGACCACTGGGAGCCTCCTTTTTTTGGCTTAGGTTGTTTTCACATGACTAGGAGCTTGCTTGCTTTCTGGTATTCTGAGAGTTTCCCAGTTCATCTTGTGTACTTTTAGCTCTAAACCTGGAGATTAGGATTTCTTCAGGGAATCTTGATTCTTTTCAGTAGGCAATGACTTTTTTTTTTCTCTTCTTTTTATTTTTTTTTTCGCTAAGATGAGCATGTGCTCTCTAGAGAGAGAAGGAGAGGAGAGAACACCCTCCTTTGGTAAATGGACACACCAAATCCCTTCTCATCCATCTCTCCCTCCTTTCAGGAACTTGGACATGCACACACACATGGTAGTATCCAAGACTCGAACTGCAGGTTTGGCTGTGTGGGACTTGGGTGCTTTAACCACCAGGCCACAGAGCCAGCCCCCAAATGGCTTTTCTTTTTCTTTTTTTTTTTTTTTAAGTTTTGCCATAAGTTGTGTTTGTTTGCCAGAGAGAGAGAGAAAGTGAGAAATCAGCCCCTGAGGGATATCCACTCTAGACTCCCTTTCTTCCATTCTCCTCCCAGGATCCTGAACATGCACACAGGCCCACCATGATTGTCCCGCTATGGAGTCTGGGGCCGGCCATTTGAGATGTAGCTGCCTTCACCACGATGCCAGGGACTGGCCCACCATATACTTTTTGAAGACCCCCCCACCCTTGTGTTCCTCTTTTTCCCACCTAGTTCCTTCTTCCTACAAGTAACCATCGTTTTCATTTGGGGCTTCCTTTTCTAATAGTAGTAGTATTGGATGAGAATCCAGGTCTCAACTTCCCGTCACAGTGTCCATGGGTAGAGTAACTTAAAGTCTTCTATCCGCATTGACTCAGGTAGTCGTAGAGCCAGCCCTTGTGGTGCTCCGGTCACTATTTAATTGGCTAGACCTCGCCTTCTCTTCACTTCCACTGGATCCAGTCTGTCTCTGTTAAGGTCCTGTTTTATCCTGTTTATCCTGAAGGCAGGGACGGGAGCACATTTGTCACTCGCACAGTGCCAGACGGACAGCAGATATTCGAATACATACTGAGAAAACGAATGCAAGAGTCAACAGATCACTTGGAGAAAAAAGATGGGCTTTCTGTAAATGCATGAGAATTTAAGGTGTAGCTTTGCCACCCAGTATTATGGCAAATCTGATTTAAAAACAATAACGCAGGGCCAGCCCTGCGGCCTAGTGGTTCAGGGAAGCACCCAACTGTAGTCTGAGTCCTGTTGCTGACAGCTTGAAAAATATACTGGCAGATATGCCTGTGTGTGTATGCCCCAAATCCTGACGGGATGGAGAAACCAGGAGAAGGAGAAACCAAGGGGTGACCACACCGCCCTGGGGGAGTGCTTCCTCCCCAGCCCTCCCTCTGGTGAGAGCAGTCACCCTCTTGGAATTGGGAAAAAAAAAAAAAAAAAGCATAGACAGAAGTTACCTCTTCTTTTTCAAATGGAGCATAATTGGTTTAGTCCTCCCTTTGGGTCAGGGTACCTGTAAATACCCTTCATCCCCCTGTACCTGTAAATACCCTTCAGCCCCCTCTGTCCCTGTGTCGGACAATGGGAGGGCTGAGCCTGAAGGATAGTGTGTGAGCCCTGCAGTCAGGTTTCTGGGCTCTCTGCCGAGTTATGGAGGTAACCCCTCATCACTTCCTGACCCGTCCCTCCTCAGGAGTATGTGCGGTGTCGTACTCACACGTAGGGCTGTTGTGAGGACTAGAGCAGTTCCTGGCACATAGCATTGCATAAACGTTTGCTGTTAGTAGTAGTAATAGTGGTAAGTAGTAACATTATTTTGGTAAAAACTTTTTTGTTTTTTGCTATAGGGCACATGTGCTTGCCAGGGGTGGGGGAGTGAGAAATTACCCCCCAAGTGTTGGCCATGCCCCAGTCAGGATCTTGGGCACACATGCACATGCATGTGATGTGATTTTCAAGCCACCGGGTCCAGGACTTGAACCACAAAGCCGGTCATGTGGGGTCCAGCTGCCTCAACCTCCATGCCACCTGCTAGCCCAAGAATTAGATTTTAAACTATAAACACTGAGGTTATGCGTTCAGGTGCCCTAAGATTACTCCCACATATGAAGGTTTGCTAGAGGGGCTCGGCATATAGCTGTATTACAGATAAGCCCTGTGGTAGCGATGCAGTAAGAGTGCACAGCACATCGTAGGAGGGGATATGACGCGCAGTCTGGTCTGGACAAGTCCACGGAAGGCTTCCTCCCCAGCAGCAGATGCAGTGTGTCTGGTGGGGATATCCATTAGAGACAGCACTGAAAATCGCAGGGGGAGGCCAGCAAATGGCATAGCGGTTACGTTGCTGAACTCCTACATGGCCAACTGCGGTTCGAGTCCTGGATCCAGTTGTTTGACAATCATGCTGGACACATGTGCATGTGTGCCCTAGATCCCAGGAGGAGAATGGAGACAGGGTTGTGTTGTGGCCATCTCCTGGGGGGCTGACTTCTCGCTTTGCTTCTTTCTGTCTTTCTCTCTGTTGAGCACCCTATAGCGAAAACCTCTTTAAAAAAAAAAAGTTGGGAGGGAGCTGGTCACAGAACACCCTTTGCCTACCAGAATCCTAGGCTGCCAGAAGGAAAGTCTGCTCAGCACAACCCTCATTGTTTGCATGGTCTAGGCACAGGTAGCCACCTTTATCTGCTAATTGGCTGGGAGCCAAGTTGGCCAAGGCCCAGCGGGCAGGCAGGCCTTTCTGTGGACGAAGCAGTTGTCAGGCCTCGGCGTTAGCTTTTTGCTACACAGGTTAAAAGAAAAGGCACTCGGGACCAGCAGGTGGCACAATGGCTACGTTGCTAGACTCCCACGTGGTCCTCCGCGGTTGGAGTCCTGACCTGGTGACTTGAACTCAATGCCGGGCACATGTGCATGCGTGGCCAAGATCCTGAGAGGAGAATGGAGAAGAAGGGATTGCAGTGTGGCCGTCCCCCTGGGGGGTGATTTCTCGCTTTCTATCTCTCTGTTTCTCTCTGTCTTTCTGGTGAGCGCACGCACCTTATAGCAAAAAAACTTCTCCAAGAAAAAGAAAAAAAAAAGAAAGAAAAGGCACTCGCCAGTCAGAATCCTGGCCATCCTGTGGTACTGATAGAGGGGTTATGGTCAGTAATTCAGGTCCTCTCATCCTTGCTGTTTTTCTTTTCCAGAATGGCTTTGACTACTTGTTGACATACAGTGACAATCCCCAGACTGTGTTTCCTCGTTACTGTGTTAGTTGGATGGTTTCCAGTGGTGAGTAGGACCTGTACAGAGGGTCTGCAATCTGGATCGGGCATGTTTTTCTCTGTCTTCTTTTTATTTATTTATTATTTTAGAGTTTTTTTTTTTTTTTTTTTTTTTTTTTTTGAAAGGGGATGTGCGCCATAGAGACATTTTTTTTTTGCTACAGGGCATGTGCACTTGCCAGAGACACAGAGACAAAGAGAGGGAAAGTGAGAAATCACGTCCTGGAGTTGGGTGGCCATGCCACAATCTCTTCTCCATTCTCTTGAGATTTGGGCATGCATGCACATGCACCTGGCATGAGTTGCAAGCTGCTAGATCTGGAATTCGAACTGTGGTCGGCCTTGTGGGAGTCGAGCGCCCCACCCACTACTGTTGTCCCTGTCTCTCTTGTCTTAATGGCAGCAGGGATATGAGTATTGGTCTCACTGGAGCTCTAATAGGCAAATTCTGCACCCTTCCAATTTTATTTTTTACTACCAGGAAGATGTCAAAGCCTCCAGGTGAGGTTTGAAGGGATATGATTTTATAGGATCCCAGAAAGGAATTTCTGTGCAGAGAAAAATTAGAAAAATGTTAGCCTCCATGCCTTCAGGAGTGTATATTAATGCATTGACCTTGTTTCCATGTGTTGAAATGAATTGTCTGAGTAGTTTCAATAGCGCTGGAGGCTGTAAGAGCTGGCTTAGAAGATGTGATCGTAGGGCACTCACCGAGGAAGGGGCTGCTACCTGTCCTAACAAAGGCCGTGTGTCCCAGCCGTAACTGCCTTTCCCTTCCAGTCTCTCGTCTTAGAAAGCATCCGTGTGTAATTTTCTTCTGCTTCTCTAAAGGCAGCTTCTTATGCCTCAGTGGAAGAATGGGAAGAAAATCAGCTGTTTCTGTTCAACATTTGCCTAAATAACAATTGGCAGCTATTTCAGCTATGCCGCTGATGAGGGATACTTAGTCTTCTCAAGGAGAGTTTTTAAGTGGCCTGATCAGTTTAAATTTTCAGAAGATCAGAGGCCGTGGGTTGTGTTCACCATCCAAGCATAGAAAACACGTTCTGCAGGACCAGTAGTTGGTATAATGGCTATGTCACTGGACTCCCATGTAGTCGATCAGGGTTCGAGTCCCAGACCCGGCGACTTAAACTCACACTGGGCAGTTGTGTGTCGTGCCCAAGATCCTGAGAGGAGAATGGAGAAGATGGGGTTCTAGCGTGGCCATTCCCCCCTGGGGAGTGATTTCTCGCTTTCTATCTCTCTGTCTCTGTCTGTCTTTCTGGCACACATGCACCCTATAGCAAAAACCTCTCCCCAAAAAAACCCACCTTCTGGGATCAGATGTCATGGGCTATCAGGCAGGCCATGACCTGTGAGACCAAGCTAGCTCCAGATAGCCTTCTGATTTTGAACCTGCTGCTGTCTTGCAAGTGAGCTTAGCCCACACCCCCTGTCTCCCAACAGGCATGCCAGATTTCCTGGAGAAGCTGCACATGGCCACCCTGAAGGCCAAGAACATGGAGATTAAAGTAAAGGACTACATCTCGGCGAAGCCTCTGGAAATGAGTAGTGAAGCCAAGGCCTCTGCCCAGGCCTCGGAGCGGAAGAGCGAGGGCAGCTGTGGCCCTGCTCGGATCGAATATGCCTGAGGGCTTTGGGATAAGAGGGGGCAGGCGCTTCTAGCCCTGTCTGGGTTCCTTGTCACTCTGCTACAGGATGGGACAGGTCATCTGTGTTAGAAGGCGTCTGCTGTAACCACCGTGCAAGATAATTCAGTAACTGCTGTCCAATTTCATTCAGAGCCCTTAGTGCTCCTTATCAGAACAGAGGAGGCGACGTCCCTGGGGGATATTGTGGTATTCTCAGGCCCCATTTCGAAATTCAGTATTTCACTGAGCTCATCTGGAACAGACTTCTCACTCAGGCTGGAGTGACTTCTGTTGGATGCCTCTGAGTAGTTTCCTGTGCTGACATTCCAAGCCCGCCGTTGGTGGTACAGCGCTTCGGATTCTTCCAGTTCTGCACGTCCCCCCGGAAAGTGTACTTGGCTGGTTGGGTCTCAGTGGGTCACTGGGAGGGCTCTTGGTCACAGTCTTCGTGTGAAGGGTGTGAATGGTACTTGACCGTGTTAAGTGCCTTGTCTTCACCTTGCTCTTATCTTCTGCGACATGATATTTGTACCAAGAGATTTCTCTCCTGCCTGCCGAACACCACCCCGTTGACTGACCTGACAGGGCAGTTTCCTTGGAATTGGCCAGTTCCATGTTTATGCACTGCGTTCACTGGCTCATTGCCTCCTTCCTAACCTTTGCTCATCTGCCAAAAGCACTGGGAGATGCGTCCTTTCAGACAGTAGCTTTCTGAGGAATCAGTGTTTGATAGGGTCAGTGCAGATGCTCAGAATATCACATTTAAATGTATTTCACTTTATTTTTTAACCCTTCTGTGAAAGCAGTTGCTGGGGAGTAGAGTGGCCTTTCTCCGCTACCCCTCTGTGCAGACACCATTTTGTTACAGGCATTCTTTTCGCACTTGAGGTTTGACCTGTCCTTCTTGGAAGGCTAAAGGCAGAGGAACCAGGGCTGTGCCACCCAGCTGTCTCTCAGAGCTGGCGCTGTTGGCAGGCTGTGTGAATGAGTAGATGGACTCTTGCCCCAAATACTAATAGAGTAGGGATATGGTTTTTGTTACCTTCTTGTTCCTGCCGGTGGTATGGTGGTTAAGGCGGCTGGATCCCACGTTTCTGACTGTGCGGTTTAAGTCCCAGACCTGGCAGCTTGAGAAAGATGCCAGGCAAGTGTGTGCGTGTGCCCAAAATCCCAAGTGGAGAATGGATAAGAGGGGATTGCAGCATGGCCGGCCCCTGCCGGGGGTGTGTTCTCACTTTTTCTCCCCCGCAGGCTCACCCAGCTAGCACACATGCCCTACACAATTTTTTTTTTTTTTTTTCCCTAAAGAAAGATTTTCCTCCTTCCTTCAGAGCTAAAGTAAATCAAACCACACTGTCCAGTTAAGGTCATGATCGGATAACTGTTTGGGCTCACTGTTGCGCTTGTTGCAGTTTGTTGGACAATAGGGATCAAGTTTTAAACCTTCCTTCCTCCCTTGTTTTTTGGAATTTCAGTGGCCGAATTTTCCCTGTGTTCCTGCTTGCTGTCTTTTTGTGGTGTTGAAAAGGGATCTAAACCTGAGACTAACTTAACCCCCTCTTGACCTTGTTGCCTGTTGAGTTTTGTGCCAAGAAAATAACTGCCCCAGGGTTTCACGCCTGACGTTCTCTGCTTCTGTGGCAGAGCAGAAAGAAAAATTGGGCATTCCCAATTCTCTCTTCTCCCCAGGACAGAAGCCAGGGAAGAGTTCCTGGGCTGTGTCTGAACTTAGCACCGGCAATTGTGAATTGTGGATGGGTATATGAGAGAGAGAGAGAAAGGAGGGAGAGAGATTGTGTGTGTGTGTGTGTGTGTGTGTGTGTGTGTGTGTGTGTATGTGTGGACAGGTGCTAAGGAACTGTGGTTGCTCCATGTTCTGACTTCGGGCAAGGTGACTGCACTTGGGGTGTGTCTGTAAGTTACTTATGTCATTGTAATGATCTTACTCCTAACTGTGACATTTTTATCAAATGTGTGAATAAATAAAGATTGGTACAAAAGAGAGGTTGTCTTTGGACAAATGGTGGTGGGCAGATCTTACACCACTGGGCTTACCGTGTCTCCCTGATCCCAGAGCCGAAAAGCAGAGTTTCTGCTCTGAGAGTTGCCTGCTCTGAGAGTTGCCCCGTGGAAGCCACAGGGTTTGTTCTTGGTAGGCAGTGGTGGGCACCACTGGCCACCAGGGCCAGACCATGAACGCTTACGGTGTGACCAGTTTGACAAGTGAAAACAAACCACCTTTTCCCACTTGTGTTTCTTATCCACTAAATATCCTATTCTTGTCTCTCTCATATAAGAGAAATTAAAAAAAAAAATTTAAATCACTTTTAGGCCCGGCCAGTGCGGTGGTGAATCCCAGACCGGCTGGCTGTGTGGTCTGCGTCCTGGACCCAGTAGCGTGAGAAACACACCAACACTGTGTGCGCATGTGCTTTTAAAAGAAAGGCCAATTTGGAGGAAATAGGGCTAGAGCTTTGCAGCTAGCAAAACTCCAGAGAGAGGCAAGCAGGTAGGAACCAGGGAAGCAGGAGGTGTGCTTTTGTGTGCACCGCGTGTCCCCACAGTCACGTGCACAGGCGCTGAGTGGGCAGGCCTGTGGGCTTCGCCAGCAAGGCGAGGCGCTATTTTACATTTCTTAACCGTTTGACAGATATAACTGGTATTTCTATGTGTCATGAAGTTTTTGAGTGTTGGGTAGCTGACCCTTTTTTCCAGAAGCCCTGTGGGTTTCATTATGTGGTTTGCGCAACAGGGTGACTTCGAGCAGCACCAATTGTGAAACGGGAGCGTAAGATCGCCAAGATGCCTTCCTGGCCAGTGTGGTGAGGCTGTCACGGCAGTCCGTGGTGCCGGGTTGAATGTTAATACGAAGCTTTTATTCTGAAATTTTTCATGTATATGAACAGTTCAAAGAGTACTGCCTCTCCTACCCTTCTTGTTGTTCGTGTCTGGCGGTGTGTACCTGCTCTTTGTATAGACACTGTTTCATGACCATTGGGAAGTAAGTTGCAAACACATTTCATCCCTAAACACTTGAACATACTGTTTAAAAATTCTTTTAAAATGGGACCAGCAGGTGGCATAATGGTTCCGTCACTGGAATCCCACATAATCCACCACAGTTTGAGCTCCGGAACGGACGACTTAAAACTCGGTGCTGGGAGCGCGTGCGCCCAAAATCCCAAGGAGAAAATGGAGGAGAAGGGATTGCTGCATGGCCATCCCCTCTGGGCTTTGATTTCTTGCTTTCTGTCTGGTAAGCACATGCACCCTATTCCAAAAATAAATCTTAAAAATGATATATATTTCAAAATTTATTTTTGATTCTAATTCTTATTGGGTCATCAGAAAAGTCATGGCACATCTCTGCATAGAAAAACACATCATGACTTTTCTGACGACCTCATACTTTTTTTTTAGTTTATCACAGGGTGCATGCATTTGCTGGAGAAAGAGAAAGATCACTTCTCAGGGGGGATGACCTGCTTTCGTTTCTCCATTCTCAGGATTTTAGGTATGCACACATACCTGGAGTGATTATTTCAAGCCACCAACCAGAACTCAGATCGCTTAGTTGGCCATGTGGGATCCAGCTGCCTTTACCTCCACACCACCTGTTGGCTTTTGAGTATTCTTTTTCAAAAATTTAAAAAAAATAATTATTTAATTTTATTCATTATTTTAAAAAATTGCTATAGAGTATGCACACTCACCTGAGAGAGGGAAAATAAAGCAAGCCACCGGGTTCAGGACTAGAACCATGGTCAGCCATGTGGGAATCCAGTGCCCCAAGCACAGTGCCTCCTCCTGGCCTCATTGTATGCTTTGTAATAATAAGGATGTTACATTCCATCACAGTAGTATCAGCCCACACAAGGTAAGTAAGTGTCGCAGCTTCTCCAAGTGCAGTTCACAGTGAGGTGTCCCCAGTTGTCTCTCAAATGACTTTATAGCCCCTCCACTCGAATCCAGGATCCAGTTACCCTGTGTTGTAGGTATCTTTTTGGCCACCTTTCATCCAGAACGGCAGCTTGCCTTTTGTAATGTAGTTTACCTCTCTTAGAATACAATGTATGCAGGGGTTCTCACACCACTGGTTTGAGTGGTTCTGGGTCTGTGAGCTTATAAACTGCCAAAGTCTGCCTGAACCAGTTACGTCAGAATCTTGGGTGAGGAAGTGGCCCATGTCCAGGGAGGAGGCAGTCTCGGATTTGCACGTACAAGTACATCTTGCACACTGTCATCCTATGCTGGCTGAGTTGGGGATTAGCTCACACCTGCTGCACTTGTAAGCAGTCGCGTGCCAGGCGCTGTGCTTCCTGTGTTCACACGCCACAGCCCGCAAGGATGGAGCGCCCTGTTCTGTAGCTGAGGAAATGGCATCAAAGGTGCTCAAGGTCACCCAGGAAGTGATGGAGCCAAGGGCAGACCTAATTTGAACTTCCCAAAGACAGCCTGGCTTAAAACTTGTAAACAGCAGTGCTGACTCCTTCCCCTGGGGCGGCTGCCTTGGTCTGAGGCTTGGATGGAGGCTGTTTCTGCCCATGAGTGTTAAGTTTTGTGTGACCCCCGCCACCACCTCCCTGTTCCAGTCTAGTGATGGCCAGCTGCCGGGGCTTTGTCTTTTAAAAAATTTGCCAGAGGGCACGTACACTCACTGGAGAGGGAGGACAGGAGAGACACGGAAGGCAAGTAAGCACTGCTGTGGGGCATGGTCACATTGTAGTCCCTTCCCTCCATCTCGTCCTTGAAGGATTTGGATAACACACTCACGCGCGTGCGTTTGATGTGATTTTCGAGCCTCCAGGTCTAGGAATCAAACTGCACAGTTGGCCATATGGGATCCAGTCGCCTTCACAGCTCCAGCTGGTCCTAGAAAGTGATTTTTAAAATTTTAAAATTTTGTTTTGTTTTGGAGAGGTTTTTGCTACAGGGCATGTGTACTTGCCAGAAAGAGAGAGACAGAAAGCGAGAAATCACCCCCCAGGGGGGATGGTGCCGCTGCAGTCCCTTATCCATTCTCCTCTCGGGATCTTGGGCACGCACGCACACGCGCCTGGCTTGAGTTTAAGCCACCGGGTCTGGGACTTGAACCGCGGTCGACCACATGGGAGTCCAGCGACATAGCCATTATGCTAACTGCTAGTCCCCCTAGAAAATGATTTTTTAAAATTTGATTTCTTTCATATGAGGGAGAGACAGGGACAAATACCCTTGTCAGTCAGAGTCTTGCCATGCTGTGGCCCTTCCCCCAATCTCCGACCAGCCAGAATCACGGAAGTGCCTGGCATGTTCAAGGAAAGCCACCAGTGAGCAGGGACAGTGCCTCCCTCACCTTCAAGGGAAAGTGGGGATCCAGTCGGGCTTGGTGTTTTAGGGGCATTGACAAATATATAGGTGTCACAGGATATAAGCAGCTAGGTGACATGTTTAAGGCAGCTGGGTTCCATGTGGCCAACGGCGTAGCTTACGTCCGGGACCCAATGGTTTGAAAACATCAGGTGCATGTCCACGTTTGCTGCCTGGGAATTCAAACCCAGGCCTTCTGTATGGCTCCAGTATTGCTCAGCAGTGCCCCACTGCCACTGCAGCTGGGCTGGATGGAAGGGATTTTTTTTTTTAATGAGTTTTTTTTTGCAATAGGTTATGTACAATCGCCAGAGAAGTGAAAAATTAACCCCCCAGGAGACGTCTATGCCAGTCCCTTCTTCATTCTCTTGGGATTTGGGGAAAACACACACACACACGCCTGGCTTGAATGTCGTCACTCTAGGACTTGAAACGTGCGGTCTGCCATGCGGGAGTCCAACACCTTGACCACTGCGCCACCTGCTGGCCCTCGGCTGGAAGTGGTTTTGATGTAAAATGTGTGGGTACTTGATAGACCGTTCAATAAAGACCCGCAGGGCACATACACTCGCACCGTTGCTTTAATAATCTTGTGGTTGACCGTGGCACATGATGTATTTTAAACAATTTTTAAACATAACTTACAAATGACCCAGCTTTATAGTCTACTTTTAAAGAGCCTAACCACACCTAAAAAGATAGCATACATGTCTGAATCTAGTAGACATACAAACACTGGATG